TGGAGGACTTGCTGTGGGCCGACCGGACGGTGTTCGCGCAGTTACTCGTGGGTTACGAGAGACCGTTCGCGGCCTCCGTTCTGGGACGCGTGCTGGACACCCTCGCGGAAAAGTTCGAGAAACGCGTCGAAGTCCCGACAGGATGCACATCTTCTCCATGTCCGACACGAGCCTGTTTTCGTGCTCAAGCTCCTGAACGAGTCGCACGATGTCCGACCAGTGCTTCTGTGCTAGCATCATGATTGAGGTGTACAATGGGTACGAGGTACGGTCCGAGTGTGTACCGCACCCAGGATGAACCTTGTCTAGTCCCCATGACAAGTTAGGTAACCCGTGTGAACTGAGCAAATTTCTAAAATTCTTGCGCGTCATTATAAGCACGTCTTAACTGCCACTTCAGAAAGGACTGGCATATAACCAGTCTGTGCGTCAGTGTTTAGACAGCGCTGCTGCAGCTGCACTGTGCATGGTGTCGCAAAAAAAAAACGGGTTATATTGAACACCTTTACCTCGGCCTTTATGTATATTAACGGGGTCATACTTAAACTCAAGTGCCTGCAAAATGCGTTGTATTTGTTGCTAGCATAAGCAGTGTCAAGCCAGTCGCTGTAGGTGGCTCGCACATGAACGACTAAGTTATCACGGAGGAATGTAGATCAGTAATTTTACAGCGAAAGCATTTATGAGATCGGAACACGGGTCACGCACGGCGCCGTAGTTGTCCGACGCCGCCACGGCGTCCGCAACCAGTATCGAACGAAAAAAAACTCATTAAATAAAAAACGCCGATGAGAATGGGATTGAAACCGGATCCTCTGCGTGCCAGCCAGTATTCTATACCACTGAGTCAGCCAGTGCTTGGAACGTTTCTAAACTGGCCATAGGCAGCCTTGATTCGGTAAAGGAATCGCGTGAATTGAGTATTAAAAGCGTTTGGAACATCAAATGAGCAGCGTGGGGCGTCACGCAATGCGTATTGCGTAACGAGTGGGTCGTCCGATGCTCCAGCCCATTGGAAAAATTGTTATTGATTACCATAGGGCACATACCCACTCAGTCATAATTTTTCATTGTCGTCAGTCATGCATAAAATTGCGCAAAATGAAGAGGTATGTAGTGAATACCACGCTTTTCAAACAATGACGAGGAAGATAGTGAATGCTGGCCTATACGCAAAAGTTATGATTATTTATGCGTAGTGGGTACCCAGCAGTGTGTCTGGTAGCAGTTACCTAAAGAGTGTTTAGAAAAGGCTTCAAATGGCCGCTTTTCTCGCTTTCGCTGGGACTGTGCTGCGCGTTCCGCGCAGATCTGGCATTTTTTTAGGTTGTTTTAGCATTTCCTGCACTACACATATTTTTTTAGGCCAGTGCATTCTTACGATTCCGGCTATAGGTTGAGTATTCCTGCCAACAGTTCCCATTTCGATGCTCAATCATAAGACGGAGGAATCTAAAGAAACAAAGAATGGCATCTCCAAAAACCAAGAGCCAGTAACGTAATAAACTCGAAAGCTTTTCTTTGCACATTCTTTAGGAGGGTGATGTTGGCTTTAGTAAAGGGGTCCCAAAAACACATGCATATTCAAAATATGGCCTATTTAGTCTGCTATAAGCAAGTGACTTTACAGCTGGAGGTGTCTGAGCTTATGTCGAAGTAAAGCGCTCCATACAGACTATAAGGCTAGCATTGCTTATACCGGGTTAAAATGAATGAACAATTATGCTATAAGGTATAATTAGCAGGAAGCAATCGCAATAATTTGGTTGCCGAAACCTTTTCAGCAATAAAATGCTAAAAACGCTTCGGCAACCTCTTGGGCCGCGCAAGCAAGTGCAACACCGTCTCGTCTCCGGCGCTGCGTCGGTACCTTTGAAGGGGGAAACTACCCGACGAAACTCGCTGTAGACGACGCGTATCTGAACTGCCGTAACAAGCAGGATGTCGATAATGCGCCGCATGAAGTAGAACTCATGTCGCACACCGAGTTCTCGAATCTCGCTAGCCATATCCCGCAAGTGCCGGGAAAAAGCTACGTGCTTAGCGCACACATTGGCGTCATCGACGCTTTGCCGAACGGTGCAGCGGGAATCTGTACGAAGAGGAATCTCTGGATGCCCGTGCTGCAATACTTTCCTCGTGCTTCACAGTATAGCGGAGCTGTAGCATGTTTTTATCTCTCCAGGTAGCCTACATGGTTCCCACGTGTGGTTTGATGGTCGCGGCTTATCTAGCAGAGGAGTCGCCCTGCTGGCTCATGGCCACCTACGAGCTGCGCAACGCCGAGCACGTGCTGTCGCGTGCAGCCGGAGCCAACAGAGTCGAGCCGCCGGTCTTCAGGCGCCGGCTGTCGGCGCTCAGGGACGAGATGTGCAGGCAGCACTGTCACTCGTTCACTCAGCAGGAACAGGAACGCGCCAACGTCACAGTCACGGACCCCGGTGATCAGTTCTTCCGTTCTACTGGCGACGAACGGGTTACGGCCACCATCTCGCTTGCATATACCACGCAATGTTCCTTCATACTTGAATGTAGCTTGTGAGTGAAGACACGTCTCCGTTCAGCAGGCAGCGCCTATATACCTAGGCTTGCTCGGCTATGGGACAACCATGGCGTGCGCACGGTTCTTATGAGGGGAGGTGAGGGGTAATTGTGTCGGAGACCCCGCCCCTTCACCTAATTATACGTCCCGCTCATTTTGACTCATTTGCCCCAACAGAGCTTTGCGCCGACACAGGTGCCCATGACATGGTGCTCTACTCGCTCGGAAAACAATGTAGGCAGACATTGCGCCCCTCTCCTCCCCACCGTCTTAGGTGAAGAGGGCGGCCACCCCCCACTCCCCTTCCCTCCCCCGAGTGCACGCCTGTGGACATAATAAAATTAGAGCACAAAAACGACTACGCACTAGGCGAATAAACAAACGGGACGATTGCTAAATTGGCGTCGTTGTTTGTTCACGGTCCCGTTTGGTTGCATCTGTCGAATAAAACAGTATACAGTATACATTCCTTGGAGCGCGTTTTAGAACAAGCCATAAATTAAATTCGGGGTTGTCGAACATGCAGGAATACTGAAAGTATCTTTGTTCTCGTGGCCCTAAAAGCTGTTAGATGTGCAGTGTTCCTCTTATTACCACGCCATATTCTTGCAGCGTTTCCTTCATACAAGGCACTTAATAAGTAGAGGCCTGCGATTCCGCAGAGGGGGGTCCGGCTTTCGGACTTGCTTTCCAACCAGCCCCTGCGCCAGCGGTCGGCCATATCTCGGCGCTGCTGGTTCCTGGTGTTTGGAACATTTGCTCACCTCAGCACGAGTCACATGATGCGCACCAGCCAAGGCGCCCGCGCCGCCCTCGTGGTTTTGCGTCTGCCCTGCGTCATGGCGGACGTCTACGTTCTCACGCGCAACAGCCGGCGCCTCTGCCTCGTCTTCAGCATGCTGTCCCTGGCCATCGTCATGGGCACTCTGTCCCTTGCAGTCTCCTTGGACGCCGCTGACCTCGTCGCCGCCGTTCTAGTCACCTTGGCGTTGCTGATATTCGACATGTCCGCCATCTCCGCGTTCGTCTTGTCTGCGGAACTCTACCCGACCGTGCTTCGTGGGGCTACGTTCGGAGTCTGCTACATGAGCGGACGTCTCGGGGCCCTAGCGGCGGTGTTCGTCAACGAGATCCAGTCGCGGCCGCTACGGGGCGTTGCGTACGCTGTCGCGGCCGCCATGTTGCTCCTGTTTGGCACGATGGCGCTCGCACTGCCCGAGACCAAGCATATGCCGCCTTCGAACGTGGTTCACGGCATTATGGTCATGGAGGACAAGTGGCAGCTCTATTCTCCGCTGCGAGTGGCCCGAACCCGACACAAGCGCCGCCATTCCAAGACGGCGCTACTGGAGAGCGACCGAATGCGCCGTCGCAGCTCTTCTTTGCTGCGAGAGCAAGCCGCTTTGGGTCGGGACCCAGCGGCCTATAAATGACAGGGAGCTGGGTACTTGCGGCGATTAGCGCTTCTTTTTAGTTTTAAATATTTTTGTGGTAATTTGTCACGCTTAATGTTTGCTTTAACAACGTGCCTTTCTTATGACGTTTATGGACAGCTTATCTTTCAATGTAGCCCTTAGTGTAGGCAGGATACATTCTTGAATTCTTTTGTTTTGGAATATATAATTCACATTTGTGTATGTTTGTGAACTGACCTATGTGGATAGCACATTGTATCTATAGGTAATGTTTCTCGGAGGCTAGCTATGATTGGATTGCAATTGGATACGTATCTGATAAACCCTGAACCACTTTACTACGCACCCTATCTGTCTTCATCTTATGGTGCTACGGACATCAAGACGAAAAAGACGGATGTGGGACAACGTGATCTCGTGAACAGACTTAGTCTAACGACTGTTTCTTGATTAAGTAACGTTGTAGTTGAGTTTGATGTTGTAGCGACGATAGCAGTATACAGCTGCTGCGTTGTCGACTTCTTGGTAGATCATCAATGTTTTTGAATATTTTCCTCCATGAAGAAGTATCGACGCTTCGGCTGTCTGTTGGCTCTGCCTAGAAAGTAGTAAGCATTTGGTTTCACTACGTTTTGTTGTTCGAGTGGATCCTGTGGGGCACATGCATGTCCCCCCCCCCCCAATTACAAAAGGTTCAGGCATAATTCTTCATCGTCGTCAGCCACAACATTAAAAATGCACAGTTGCAAGCGTGTAGCGGGTACCACGCTTCTCCGAAGAATGGCGAAGGATGGCATAGTGAATATACTGTGCAAGTGTGCTCGTAGTAATTACCGAAAAAGGGTTTAAAGAAGCAACGCTTCTTTTCCAGCTTTCACTGTGACTGTGCTGAGCATTGAGCGTGCAGGCCTGTGCGTTTTTTTTTTAATACCAGGGGTATTACATGCATATGACATGAACGAGAGAGAAAAAACCTAGACGAGTAGAGCTGAAAAAAAGCCCGCTACACTCAAAAGTGCGTCGAGTAAGTTGCTGACGCAGCCAGCCCGACTGGCGGAGATCTGTCTTGCCGAGTTCACGGAGTGCACCGAAATGCCACCTTCGTCCCATGCTCTGCAGTGGCGCACTGCCGCAAGAAGAAGACGATGGACGGGTTAGGAAAATACGGGGTAGGACTTGCCCTCGACGCTTTGCATAGAGAAACCCTTCATGAGATCCGTATGCGCCCGGTTTCTTGACCCTCGGGCTAAAAAAAGAATCGCTGGCCTCATTGCCAGGGTTTCCCAAATGCGCGGACACACAAATTAGCTCAACGCTGCGGGAAGAAAGGGGGATTTCGGGTGGGAATGTGGAACGTGGTAGGGTGAACTCCACGCCAAGCCATAATTAGCAGCGCTGGTTTTGAATAAGTTAGGATGTAGGTATAGCATTCGCATTCCCTATAGCGCTAGCGCCACAGGGATCTCTTCCACTTCTTCCGGTTCGGTTTCACGAGGTAGATTTTAGGAGCTTGTTCGCCAAGCGTTTTTGCTAGGGGCATGTTTCTTGGCGTGTACGCTAGAGGCGCGACATGTGCTATCTACCCACTACACGATCACCGTAACTTTGTGGAGTAGAGAAACACCAACTATGCCACTATTCCATTAGTCATTATGCCGAGAAGGTTGGTACCCGCTACGCACCTGTAAGGCATTGTGCGAACTCTGTGCAGCGAGGAAGGTTCGTCGACAGACGGACCCTGAGGTGAGAGCCCGTGACGAAGGGGCGACACCCGAGCGGCAAAGAGAACCTCTAGCCGGAAAATGTATCAACACTGTATTTTCTAACATTAAACTGCAGCCTATATATAAAGATTCTCTCGCCACATCCTTCACCAACTAAAAAATTGTAATCTTCAAAGGAAAACGGTCCACAGCTTTGTAGTAGTAATGTAATCCTTGTATAATATTGCATCGATTTGTCCATGATTGCATCTTGTGTATATATAAATGTATGTAGTATATGTGTCAAACGAAGCTGAATAGCGGCAAGCCTTTTTCGTGATGGTATAGAGCGCGCCGTTCTCTTATTACGATGACAGGCACGCAGATATGCGCAGTGTTGCGAACAAGATGCGCGCGCCTGTCAATCGTGATAATTGAACGGTGCGCACCATACCATCGCGGAAGGACCTTGGGGCGCTGTTCGGGTTCACTTAACGCTGATAGTAATTACCACCGTTTAAGAACCTGTCACGTCTTATATGACGGTGAGGACTCGTACGGACGATTCACGGGTTCTCCGATCGGCTCCGAGCAAGTTCCTCGATCATATCGTTCACTTCGTGAAGGTGGCGGTTTTTTTATAATTAATGGAGGGACAAGCGAAGTGTAGGTCATTGCTGCGGCTCCGTAATGATTTTATACAGCATATACCCAGACAGAATGCTGTCGGCAGCCGTACGCTTCAGGAAGAGTCACTGCTTTCCGCCACTCGCTGTTTCGATCGGAGGTGCGTGTTATACTGGGAAATGTTCGAATACCGAACGTTTCAAGAATTTCTTTAGGTACTAAATAATTATGATTAACGAGATGCGAATTTGAAAGGTATTCGTTCTTTCATCTTCTATTATCTATAGTGTTAAACCACGACAGTAGATAAATAGATTATTACGTTGGTTTCGAATGGAATGCCGTTCCCCTCAACAGCTACAGGAGGGCGAAAATAGAAGTGATGGCGATGACACAGTTGCTTAGCCAGGTGCACCTAATTACTTGAGTTTGAGAAAGAACGTTGTATTCTTCCGATTGTAACATAAGATAGTCTCTTCTGGGTCATCAGGTTTAATTTCACGAAATACACACGCACATACATACATACATACATACATACATACATACATACATACATACATACATACATACATACATAACATACATACATACATATACATACATACATACATACAGACAGACATACATACGTACATACATACATACATACATGCATACATACATACATACATACATACATACATACATACTACATACATACATACATACATACATACATACATACATACATACATACATACATACATACATACATACATACATACATACATACATACACGCGCGCACACCCAAAATGGCATGAAATTCAGTGCCACTTTTGAATGGCAGTCCGACCACTAACAACTCGACGACCTCGAATGCAGGTGAACAAACCAGAGAAAGCTATTATTTCTAATAACTTCCGGCGTCATCGTGGCTTCACAACGAGTGGCATCAGGGCCTCTCTTACCTTTCTTTCCTCCGTGGTGGTTGGCGCACATTGCCGCCATTGTTGCAACTTGATGGCGATGGCGATACAGCTATGTCCTTTCAACGCCTGACGCTTTGGATCGGGTCGCCTTTTCAGCGCGAAGTAGCCCAAACAGAAAGAAAATAAAAAAATCTAATGCACACTTTCACAGTTGAAATGAAGGTTTGTTCACTTTATTTGAAAGAAAAAACGTTACAGTACGGCACTACCACAATGATTTCGCCTCTCGCTGCGATCATGGCGATGGCAATGGCTGCGCTGTGCAGCGAGCTAGAATCACAAGAGTTACTGCTGCCCTGCCACGAGTTTCTTGATTTCCAGGGAAACGACGGCGCGACAGCTATAGCAAAAAATATAAACCATTTCACAAAAAGCACGATACAAAGTTTACTACTTTTTGTGTGCAAAAATTGGTTTGTGCGTGACACAATTGTGCACCCACATGAACCATGAGCTCCGTTGTATTCGCTGTTTCCGACGACGAATTTTCAACACGGATAATTCACCGCTAACTTGAACTCCAAAACAGAGTCCACAGAGGATTTTTTAGGAATGACCCCTGTGCACTTCATCCCAAGGACATCCTAATAACCACCCTGTTGGGATATCCCCTACCCACATGTCCAAAGGACATCTAAAAACCCACCCTGTTGAAATGTGGGACATATGGATCTTTTAGGGAAGTCCCTTGGATGTTGTATGTTGTCTAGGTTAGCGTTAACTACTGTGGGGGGTGGTAACACCCTCCGTGAAAGATTGCGCGCCTCGTTGCACACGTGTTGCGCACATAGGCTGCATTCACAGGTCAAACCATTGAATGGTAGGTGGCGTTGTGCTCGGGAGCGTTTATCACCACCATGCATTATTATGGCTAGAACGGTAACTCCAGCCGTGACGCCTGACGTCAATCAAGCCTGGGAGGCGGCACATGAGAAAGAAGCGATCCTCTTTGGCGTGTGGCGGTTGGAGCGAGCGGTCGACTCTAACGGCGGGTCTGCGGTAGACTGCACCACGGGCCGTGTGCCGTGGGCCCTCGTGGCGAGTCCAGCATTGGCGACGCCACCTCGTGTGTGTTATTTGTTTGTTACGTTGTCCAGTGTTGTGTAATAGTGTGTGTGACTGTTTAGCGTGTTGATCACACAGGTATAATAATTCGGCTGCTGATGTCGTTTTAAAAGTTGTTAAATGTGTGCTTGTTTTGGTTCGGTCTGACCATGTCTACTGTTACCGTTCACTCCAAAAGCGTGGCGCTAACCACTTCGAGGCCCCACAATATGAAGAGGCATCGTAGAAACATAAAACAAGCATCACGTAATTTCCGAAAACAACGGTAATACGGGGAAGCAGCGAAGGAAACACGAATAAGGCACACATTGCCGCAAATGTTTTCGCCGACTAGTGGTACGTGTCCCTCAGGTTAGATGAAACACAGCCTGTCGTAGTGCAGAGAGCTGTGACGCCTTACTCGTAGCTCTCCGGCCCAGAGTCGTGTTCGTGAGCTCGCGCTTGTCTTTGTTGTGGGCCACTCTAATTGGAGGTAGAACAGCCACTTGTCCTCCGCGACCATCATGCCGTGTGCAGTGTTCCAGGGTGGCAGCTGCCTTGTTTCCGGCAGCGCCAGTCCCATCGGCACCAACAGCACCAACAAGGCTACAGGCTACTAAAGTAAAATGGCCGCCGCCACGGCGCAAAAGCACCCTCAGCGGTGGCGACCA